CAACTCCAGGAGAAGGCCCTTCCAAATAGAATACAACCTGACCAGGCATTGTCGACAACGAAAACTTTCCTTCCAGTATGGCTGCACGGCTATACTATTTTTTTAAAAAAATTTAAAATACAGAGTATAGCCGGCTATACCATATCTTTTAAAAAAAAAAATTAGTAAAAACAGTCTTTTGAAAAATCGGAAGAAACAGAGTATAGCCGCACGGCTATACTATCTCTTATACTATTTATTTTAAAGCCGTGCATTAGTTTATACTCTATAGATATTAAATTGGTATAGTCGTGCAGCTATACGTATAAAAGATGTAATTGTTTTATTTGATAAAATTTTGGCAAATTACAACTTAAAAGTTCGGCACTATATAATATTTTAATATATATTATATGCATTCAATAATGTGTGGTAATTATGTGTATAATACGTGAATTTGTATGCATTATTTTAAAGGGTAATCTGTTGAATTGCCCCCTGAACTTGTACATAACTCTCAATTTACCACCTGACCTTTTTTTTTAGCGAATTAAGGGCTCGAATTAAATTTTATTATCAATGTTCCCCCTACCGAGACACACACATAATAAACAGTAGAAGTATCCAAATATTTAGCAAAGATTTTTTTAAAAAAAGTAAGAAAGAAAAAGAAAAAGCTTGGTTTAGTGATGAACTTCTAGCATCTACGGAAGAGGGAGATTGAAAATTCACTATTAAACAAATAACTGTAACGATTTTCTACAACCCTAAATCACACACACAACCTTACAAACAGAATCCAAATTGCACTCAAATTCTCTCCTCCCTTTCGATTAATGATTTGAGACATTTTCCAATTGGTAAACTTGTATTTGCAGCCACTGATTTTAAGTTTGAATGAAATTACAAGTAAATTAGCCCAATCCATTGTTCCCATCCCACCACTCACAATTAGCCTTGAAGCCCACTCAGATCCAATTTTCTGGCCTAATTTCTAACTCACTACGTACCCGTCTATAATGTCAAATGATGCAGCCCACATCTTTATATGAATATCCAAAAGTTAGTATAATATGGCACATAACTCGAGGAAGTAAGGTATTGCAATCTATCAGCATTAGGCAAGTAAAGAATGGGTTGCTCTCTAGCTACGAAAGGAGAGCCGTGCGTCACATCTAAGGTTTCTTTTTGCATTTAGTCGCCATCTTCTCTCGTTCAGTCGGCGTCGCTTTGTCTCTCTCTCTCTCTTCCGACCAGAAATTGATTTAGTTTGGACTCGCGTGTTCTATTTAACAAGGGTGCTATTTTGTGAACCGCTTTTCAACTTTGCTATATTAGAGAGGAGCGAGTGAGAGGTTTTTTTTCACTGTTGGATTGTATAATCTCATTTAAGTTAGTTTCTTCTCTTCCCAAACATGGGTTTCAAGTGTTACTTAAGCTAGTCCAATCCAATGAGGCATACCAAACACAACCTTACATGATTATCTTTTTCATCGTATCACATGATATAAGAGATAGTCACATAATTATGTACAACCAGTGATGTAACCGCTTTTAATGGAGTACTGTTACTAAACCTTATATAAAAATGAGAGAATCCATATAAATTAGAACCCGATAACATCAGCCAACACATTTGGTATGATGTCTGAAAGTTGAAGATTTATAGTTGGTTTAGGCTAGAATATGCAAAAGACAACAAACAAAGGTCTATGCTCTCAAGTGACAAGTCTTAACACACCATAGAAAAAATACGAATGCAAAAGCTAAAAGTGAAGTCTCTTCTTATGGATTCGACACATCCAACCAAATGCTTGACCAAAAAATAAAGAATGTAGAAAATGGTTGTCTTTATTTCTTCAATGAGAGTTAATACTAGTTGTTCAACGTCTGCCACTCCACAGAATCATGCAATTTACCAAAATGAAGGCCACCATTTTTATCCTGGTAACTTTGACCCACCATCTCCACCACCGTAACTTGCTTTATACTTTTATGCTTTTGTAGTATCAGGGCAGTTTAAGGATCCCTTGGAAGAAATAAGTAGACTTTCTAAATCTGCAAGCTCAAAGGTTGATAGTCCATCTGTTGATAATGGGCAAGCATTTGATGATATTGATCCATTTGATGGCCTTGGGAAGTCAATCCCGGCATTTTCATCGGCAAGAAATTACAGGGGAAAGGATAGTGGCAATTTAAGGGCAGATGCAAGCACAAATAACAGCAGAGCTTCAACTACTAAAGAATCAACTGAGAAGCCTTCTGTGAGAAGTCCAGATAACCAGTCTCAGAAGAAGGTTCCTGTTGGCAATCATTGGGATTCTCATCAGACCTTGTTTGACATGCCTACAGTTTCAACTGATTCTCAGAAATCAGCTGGTCAAACTATGTCTCCACCTTCCTATGTAAATGCTAGTCCTAAGGAAGCAAATGTACAGGTGGATAGGTCTCCAAGATCTGAAGAAAACTTGGATTCATCTGATTATCTATGGCTCACTGTTTCAGAGATCCCTCTAATGACTCAGCCCACTAGTGCTCCACCACCGTCAAGACCACCTCCTCCAAGGCCAGTGCAGGTTTCGAAGGCAAGAATGGGTTCCCCTGCTACCACAAATGCGAGAAAGAAGGCTAGTGAATCTTCTACTCAGTTCTTTCAAGCTCCGAAGTCTGCTCCTGCTGCAGCGAGGGGCCCAGGTGTCTCTTCAATTGACGAACTTGAGGATTTTGCTATGGGTAAGAGCCAAAGTAACTTTGATGAACATGCAAATGGTCTTTCTGGTGAAGAATTGGAGATGAATTCAGTTGCTACTGCCATGAAGGAGGCTATGGATAGAGCTGAGGCTAAATTCAGACATGCGAAGGAAGTGAGAGAGAGAGGAAGTACAAAGGCTGCTAGAAGTAAAGAAGCACAGCTAGAAAAGGATGAGAAAGCTATGCAGGATGAGAAAGAGCTTAGATAAAAACAGGAGAGGTTGGATAGTGAACGGCTGCAGAGGGAAAGCGAAGAGGAAGATATGGAACAAAGTAGAGTGGAGAAAGAGAGTGGAGAAACAGGAGAGGTTTTGACAGAATCTGTTGTTACTGGCAAGCTGCTATGGTGGTGGTCTGTGCAAGGCTGAGGCTGCCAAATTGATGAAGACCCAAGGAAGGCGTCGAAAAGCCTGGTGCGGTTGACAATGAAGAACCTGGGTTGAATGACCAAAATAACCCTCAAAAGAGAGTCAACGTGAGTCAAATGACGGATTAATGGATGAAATATTCGAATTTTGACGGTGGGGGGAACATTGATAATAAAATTTAATTCGAGTCCTTAATTCGCTAAAAAAAAAGGTCAAGGAGTAAATTGAGAGTTATGTACAAGTTCAGGGGGCAATTCAGCAGATTACCCTTATTTAAAATTTTGTAAAACATAAGTGTATTAAATATGAAATATATGTACGTACATGTTCGATACGAGTATTGTACTTTTGCTTTGTAAAAAATTAGGAAAACCCCGAGTATAGCTTCATGGCTATACTATTTCTTTCTAAAAATTAAAAAACAGAGTAAGGGAATAGCCGGACGGCTATACTATTTCCTTTTTTACAAAAATGGCTACACTGTTTCGTTTGAAACTTTTAAAATACAGCGTATAGCCGTGCGGCCATACTATTTCTTTTTCCAAAAAAAAAAGGGAAACCATGAGTATGGCTGCGCGGCTGTACGATTTCTTTTTAAAAATTAAAAATACGTTCGGCTATACTATTTCTTTATTACAAAAATTAGGGGATACCTAGTATAGCCAGACGGCTGTACTAAAAAGAGTATAGCCGTTCGGCTAAAACAACTGAAATACGTAATTATTTTATTCAACAAAATTTTGGCAAATTAGAACTTAAAAGTTCGGCCACTATATTATATTTTAATATATATTATTTGCATTCAATAGTATGTGAGAATTATGCCTGTAGTACGTGAATGTTGTGTATATTATTTAAAAATTTTGTAAAAAATAAGCATATTAAATATGAAATATACGTACGAACATGTTCAATACAAGTATTGTACATTTGCTTTTTAAAAAATTAGGAAAAACCACATGTCTTTAAATATATTTTTAAAACTTAAAATCCATAAATAAAAAATTAAAAGCAACTTAAATCTTTTTATATATATTTTTAAAAATATATAAAAAGATTTAAGTGCTTTTAATTTATTTCTTAAATAAATTTGAAGTTAAAAAAAAATTATATTATATTTTAAAACCACGTGGCTCTATACCTTTTGATGTGTGGGCTCCACACACGTGCCACGTCATCTATTTAACAAAAAAAACTTACAGAAACTAACGGCATGGACTATTTTAATGTTGGATTGGTGTTACAAAAAAAAGGTTAGGGATTTATGATAAAAAGCCTTCAAAAAATGTTGGAAATATTTGACTACGTTTGTAAAAAAGAAAGTGACATGACAGAAAGTGCTTCTTGGGTGCTGGACTTTAAGAGTTAACTTTTGCTAGCAATTTATTTTTTTTATTTATTTCATAAAGAAGATGATTTTAGATTTCTCTTTACAATCCTGCTAACAATAACATCAAATAAACCATCGGAATGGGGACCAGGAGGACAATGCTCCTCCGCCTAGCCAGACATGCAATCTGATTTGCCCGGAACGGCGGAGCCACCCTTAGGTTAGGATGAAAAAAAAAAGTTTAGTACTAAATTTTAGGAAGTTCATCCTATTTAGTGGAAATTAGTTTAGGGAGTTTCACTAAAACACCCAAAATGAGGGCTGAAATTATAAAAAAACCCAACACCCAAAACACTTTATAAACACACCCAAAACCCATCATTACACACACTCAAAATCCATTTATAAACACACCCAAAAAATATACAACTGTTGATTTTGGGGTTGATTTTGGGTGTGTTTCTATGTTTAAATAGTGCGTGGGTTTTTTTATAAATACATGTCTAGGATTGAGTTTATTTATAATAATCTAATTAGGGTACCCCGTCTTAGAAAAAATTACTCTAGCTACTTCACTCCAACAGCTCTTTAAATGAAAAATAACTAGATATACGGCTTATTCCTATGAAAATTTCTGGCTCTGTTTGCCCATCAACAGGCCATGCAGCACACAGAGCCGGTCCATTGATTTTGGAGGCCCTGTGCAAATATGGATGTCGAGGCCCTACGTATACAAGTAGAAAAAAAAAATCCATATAGAAACAAAATTTCCTGACACGGGAAGAACACCTTCAGAAGGAGCTTCCCAGAAATATTTCTTTAGTCCCTCTTCCAAATCACAGAGCTGATAAATTGATTTTCCAATTTCAATGGTTGGTGAATTCTCATGTGAATGAGGGAGGGAGAAAAGAACATTGATTTTGGGGAAAGGGCTAAAGCTTGGGTAGGGCTTTATTTTGATGGAGGATGTAGAAAAACTAAAAACCAACACCAGCAAACTCACAGACAAACAAACCAACCACCACAGCAAGCACGCAGATGAAACCCAAAGAAATTCAAGCAAGAAAACACTCACTCACACAGACACGAAAGAGAATAGAAGGAAGAAGACTAAAGCTAAAACTCATAAGCTTCGTACTACGAATTCAAACAACAACAACAACAGCACAAAATGCGAATAGAGGCAACCCCTCTTTGAGAGAGAGAGACCTTTCAGCAGAAACAATAAAAACATTCTAGAGACAAGAGAGCACACTGCCGACAGCATGCCTAATACAAAATTAGCCACAGTAGCATCACTCCTTGAGCCAATAAACAAAACATATCCTACATAAAGCATGGGCATGCTTTTACAAAGTGAATAGAATATTAAATGTGGCTTTGAATTCGGTGGACTTGGTTTAAGTTAACTCTCAACACAGGAGAGTTTAATATGAGAGAGAGAGAGAGAGAGAGAGAGAGAGAGGAGAGATGCACACAACACGGCAGAATCAAGAAGGAACAAATATCTGACAGTTAGGAAATAATAATAATATTTTTGGAATAAAAAATACATAATATATTGCTGGGCTTCTAAAAACATTTGGGGGCCCCTAAATTTTGGGGGCCCTGTGCAGTCGCACAGCCCGCACATGCTATGGGCCGACTCTGGCAGCACATCAGCTCTGATTTATGCTCCAAATATCTGCATCCATATAGGGAAAAAGTCCTAATTAAGTTTATGCCTCTAGGACTCAGTCAAATTGGTGAAAGTACTGGACAATAAAGCTCATGTACATTACGAATGGGACATTATAGTTACTACAATGTAAAGAAAGCTGTGCTTAGCTTTCTCTTTCTGTGACATTGATGACAAAAAAAAAAAAAAAAAAATCAGCATAAAGAAAATTTGCTTAGCAATAAATTGTATGTTAGTTCAGTTATGAATATATACATGCTATCCAATGTGGATATTAAGTTCACTTTTTCACACCTTTGATCTTCTTTTTTCTTTTTGGGCTGATTGGCTGCTGATTTCTTCACGCTTGCATGATTCTGTTTCCCAGCAGATTTATTTTGTGCTTTGATGCTTCCATATATACTTCCCTTTCAGCTTTCTTCCATGTTCATTCTTCTCATTTCAATATTGAGGTCAGTTGAGTGAAGGCTTGGTCCTGCCTCATCATCATAAAGGCCACTGAACTTGATTTCTGGCTCATGATCATCGTTGCTGTCTTCATCATCATCATCATCGTCATCGTCCTCCTCCTCCTCCTCCTCCTCCTCATCATCATCATCATCATTATAATAACCATCGTCGTCGTCTTCATCATATTCTTCATCGTCGTCTTCATCATCTCTAAGAAAATAAGCATATGGGACAGACTTGCACTCAATAAAAGAGTCAGTGTCATATATAAATTTGTCCCATAAAAGACTGACTCCTATCTTCTTCACCGTATGACCAGATCCAAATGCAACACAAACCTCAATGAAGTCTCCGCCTTCCAAATTGAAATCCTTGTTTGACAAATGCCCCTGCCAAATAACTTCATGGGAAATTGTTGTGTAGGGATATGTCGGCTGGACAAGAAAACTAGTGCAGTTGCTATGATTTGTAACAAAAATGGAGATATATAATTTAGATTTGTCCTCCTGTAAACACTTATAAACGGTGCACACAGTCAACGCTTTTAAGTTACAACCAGAAACTTGAGGCACTTCAAAAGAGACTTCATCGCCCTCATTGACATAAGTGAACCACTCCGGAATATCATTTCCAGGGAGATAAAGGCCACCACCTCCGCTCGAATTCCATCCCTATACCATGTAGAGCAATAATTAATTAACTTTATGGTGAAGAAAAATAACATGCTTGTGCATGTGCATGTATGTTTAAGTGTTTAAGATAGAGAGAACCTGCAAGAGGTTCTTCTTAACAGTAGAACTAATATTGGTGCAGCCTTCCATCCGAATCAATCTCATAGTATTTAATGCTGTATCCAAGCCTGGAAACTCAATAAGTTTATGCGAATGACTTAGATGCAATGTGTCCATATTCAACATTTCTGAAAAATTTGGCATGGTTTGCAATGCAGTGCAGTCATCCGCAACCAGCTGCGTCAAACTTGTTGGTAATTTTGGCATTTCATGAAGGTTTGTGCAATCATTCAATATCAGACAATCAAGCTTGGAAAGGCTTCTGAGGTCGGGAAGGCAATGAAAGCTGTTTCCTTCTAGGTTTAAAGCTAATAAAGAAGTTAGACTCCCAAGATTCATAGAATCAATTTCCTCATTAGTGAAATTGCAATTATCTAATGATAGATGTTCAAGTTTGGAAAGGCCACTGAAACATGGAGGGCTATGAAAACTATTGCATCCCAGATCTAATTCTTCCAAAGATTTTAGGCTCTCAAGATCAGTAGGAGCATCATGAAATAAATAGCAGCTTCTAAGATGTAATTCTCTCAAAGAGTATAAGCCCCGTAAAGAAGGAGGAAATAGATTATTGGATTTTCGATACGGTCTTGGTAATTGCAAAGACCAGAAGGGACAGGGTAAACAGTTAGATGGTGACCGCCATCTCAGGCTACAAAGAGATAAATATTTCAGGTTCTTCAATCGTACTATGGAAGATGGTATTTTTCTTATGGCTGTATTATCTGCAAGAAGAGTTGTCAATGATACCATGTCCCCTAAGTCCTCAGCCAAGTTTTCAAATTCCCAACAACCAACAAGAATAAGAGTTTCAATAGATTTTGATTCATAAAAACTCCTAGGGAGATCCTTAAGCACTCTGCAGTCTTTAAAATTCACCGAAGCAAGTCTTTCGAGATGTCCAATAGACTGGTGAACCTTAGACAAACTCTTACATCCTTTGAGTATCAAAGTCTCAAGATTTGGGAGTTTAGAAAAGTTTGGTGATTCCAATAGATGATAAGAGTGACTGAGGTTAAGAATCTTCAACTTCTCAAGCAATTGCTAGGTAAAACCAAAAACAAAACAGAATACAGAAATCAAAATCCAAAAAGAAGAGAAGAGAGAGTATGATGGTTAGTATAAAACCTCGGTTTTGGTAATATTTACCTCGGAATCCTTCCAAACATGTCTGAGGTTGCTGTACCGCAGATCCATGGCAACTAGGTTTTGTTGATCAAAGTCGTTTGGTATGATCTTTAGAGGGAATCCATGCCAGCAGAGCCATCTCAACTTTCTGGAAAGATATTTGTATTCTCCTGTGAGCTCTACATAGTTGAGTTTGAGCAATCTCAATTTCTTCATATTTGTAAATGCATGTGTACTGAAAGTAGCCTTCTCAGATCTTAGCAAATTTAGAGTGACTCCTTGAATTTCTTCAGTTCCCTGTTAAAGAAAGAGCATGCCATATATTAAAGGGTTATTTTCATTTGGAAAATGATTTATACAAAGGAAGCAGAATCATGAATGCATGTAAGAACTATTTGAACACTATCTGATCACATCTTCCACAATCCAATCTGCTAAAAACGGTTTCGTACTGTAGCCTTTCTTGGTACTTAAACATAATCCAAAGCATATGACCATGAAAATTACTATGGTATGAAAAATGATTATGACCGGATTGTGTACATATCCAGGGCATACAATTATTATATTTGGGATGCATATCATTAGTTTTTCTTGTATTACAAGCTTTTAACATAAACTTGATTGAGAAAGTACTTACAGATTCGTTTTTCAGTACGTCAGTCACATCTTCAGAATGCCACAATCTACTACAATTTCTTGGATCATTAAGGGATTCTTCATAGACAATTTCTCTGCCCATGTCTCGAAGCAAATCATGCATCATCAACTTGTTTTCTTCACTAACAGTTATAAGGCACCGTTCAATAAGGACACTTAGTCCTATTTCTGGGAAAAACCCACAACCATCTAATATTTGTGTGACATAGTTCCTGTTCATTCCAATAAAGAAACAAGATATATCAAGGAATATGTCCCTCTCTTTATCATCACTAAGCCCATCAAAGCTTATTTTGAGTTGTTTCTGAATATCTCCAGCAGGAATTTTTCTCAGTTTATCCAATGTGCTTTTCCACTCTCTAGTGCTTCTTCTAAATAGAAAAGAACCTAAAACTTCAAGAGCAAGTGGCAAACCTCCACAATACGCAACAACACATTTTGACAGTTTAAAATATCCTGCATTAGGACGATTGTTTTTGAAGGCATGCCAGCTAAAAAGCTCAAGAGCTTCTTCTTCATTCATTTCTTGAGCATGATATATTTTATCCACTTGAAATAGCTCTAGCAAATGTTTGTCTCTTGTCGTTATAATAATTCTACTTCCCGGACCAAACGAGTCTCGATTTGTAGCCAATGCATTTAGTTGGTCCTTGTGATCTACATCGTCGATTATGATAAGTACCCTTCGACATCTAAGTCTTGTTTTTAAAACATTGATATCAACTCTCCCTATCTTGGTTGGTTTCAAGATGTCAGAAAGAATTTGTTCTTGCATACGCTTCAGTCCATTTGGTTTCTTTGCAGTTTCCCTGACATTTAAAAGGAAGCTTTTACCTTCAAAGCTGTGATAAAATTGGTTATAAATGGCTCGGGCAAGTGTTGTTTTGCCTATTCCACCCATCCCCAAAATTCCAACTATGCGAACATCATCTGATCCAACATCTAAATAGTTACTCAGATCTTGCACCCGAGAATTTAATCCGACTGCATAGTCGACTACCGATGAGATTGTCTCATTCATCAGCAGCCATCTAGAAATCCCTTCAATAATTTCTCTAATAAACTTCGCTTCATACCTAAATTCAAAATTCAACCTATCAGAATTGGGGGACCTAAAATGTTAGTTTGCAATTTTTATTTTTATAATTAAAAAAAAAAACAGATATCTATTCTTTTTCCAACTGAACTGTAAGCAAAACCTCTGTAGCAAAAAAAAAGAAAAAAAGAAGAAGACATTATGGCAAGTATTAAAAGAAGTGAGTTAAGCACTATTGTTCAAAGAAACTAGTAATTAAATACCCATCTGCAGTGTTCCTGAGATCCCAGCCAGACAAATTTGCAGCTTCAATAAGAGCAGCTCTCCACCTCACCACCTTATTATCTCTACCTAACAACAAGTTCTCTTCATGTTTCTCAAATGCTTGAGCAAAGCTGCCCCTCTGTTCTCTTACATCCGATGGATCAATATCGTAGAATATTGGCATAACCGTCTGCCCTAGTGTTGTTCTGCACTCCATGATCTTGACCAGCTCATCAAGGCACCAACTCGACTCGGCATACCTCCTTGAGAAGACGATGACAGATATTCTAGACCCTTGGATTGCCGTCACAAGTTTGGCCGTTATATATTCCTCTCTACTTAATTCATTGTCGTCAAAAAAGGCATTGATCCCAGCCTCTCTTAGCGCCATGTAGAGGTGTCCCGTGAAGCTGTTGCGTGTGTCTTCACCTCTGAAGCTCAAGAACACGTCGTACATCCAATGTTGTTTTGAGGAGAAGGATGAGGATGAAGAGGAGGCTCTATGAGCTGTCCTGGTGCCCATTGGTATTGCAGCAGAGTTTCTGATGACAACTATAGAATGGCAATGAACCGAGTCCTCAAAATGAAGGCAGGCCAATGTATATAGGTTGTTCATTTTAAAATCCGCCAGAAAATTGTTTGTTCTTGGTTTTAATTGAGAAATCCGCCTGCAGAAGTTGTTTGGTGATTCAAACGTAATTAACGTAACATTGCATTTTTTTATATTACTTTTTATTCTTATTAGTTGCTTCATTTTTTTTTCCTGTTACTTAGGAAACAATAGTTTGCATGTATATTCAACTTTCTCACCAAACTCTACTAGTATGATCACGCTTTTTAAAAAAAAATATTTTATTTTTAAAAATTCTATTCTCTCTCTGCTTTTGCTTCTTTAAATCAATTATTCTCAATAATATTCAGATAGGATTTGGATTCATTCTCTTCCTATAGTTAAATATGTATGTAGTAAGTTTCCTTTTCTTAGTAAAAAAAAACAAAAAACAAAAAAAAACAAAGAAGAAAAGTAAACGAAGTAACTTTATTCATTGATTCGGTTTTTGGTCAACTCCCCTATTCATTCGTTGCTCATCACTTTTACTCAACTCAAATAACTTTTAACTTCAATCACAGAAGTTTATAAACCAAAAATTCAAACTTAAATCCAATTGGAATAAATATCCAAAAATATGGTATTTGATTGTTATTGGAATTAAAAATTTGAACATCTCTATGTATTTTTTTATTTTTATAAAGAGTGGTAGCATTTTGTGAGGAACATAAACAAGTACAAAGCTACTATGGTTGCAAAAATATAGATAAATCTTCTTCATTGACCAAACACAATAACAAGTTAAATTGATCTAGAGAAAATCATGTACAGAAATGGTAGATTTGTATCAATGGCCGAAAACTAATAAGAAATGACAACAAAGACCTAAAAAGTTCCTGAAAATTATTAGACAAACAAACTAAGAAGGAGGGTCACTGCTCCACATCCTCTTGGGCAACCCAAAGAGAGCTATAGCGCCATAACAACTAAATGCATAGTGCCGTATCGGATAATAAACAATATGAAAACTACACAATTCACAAACAAATTAACTATGTTCAAAACTATCTTTATTTTTATGGAGGATTTCACTTAAACCCCTAAGGTTTGACATTATTACAATCACACCCTACATATTTCATTTATTATAAGAGATATTTAGTCATAAACTCATTCTTAGCACTAATGATTTAGATAAATCCTACACCATTTAATTTCTATAAAAAAAAACCCAAAAAATGACAGCTGTCCCTATCAAATTTAAGTTCGATTATTAAATTACTTTGATGCCCTATTTAGTGTTTTGGTTTTTTTTTTTTAATGAGATTTTGGGGTTGAGTTTGTTTTAAGAAATCGATGACAATTTTGTAATTTATAAGAAGTTAAAAACCTATTTGTTATGTTGTAAATGAGCTTTGAGTGTATTTCTAAAGTCCATTTCATATAAGATTTTTTTAAAAAAAATTTAAGCCCTTATATCAGGTATAATAGTAAATCTCTTTTATTATAATCAGAGCTCCTATTTTTAACATTTGTATTATGATTAGTAAACAGTCCGAGGCCAAGACCATCTTTCCTCAAACCCCCTCCAGCATCAACTCGCCTACCCCCCTCCTCACCCCCACTCATGATTGATCTCCATTTTCCTCTACCCTTACATTGTTACTCAAATATGGTATGTGGCAATCTCGAATATAAAATAAGGGCATTACAGGCCAACCACTACAAAACTACGTCATTATTTAAACATACGGACCTTTTACGGATCAAAATAAAATTACCCCCAAAATTTTAAATTTTTTAAAACACGTTTAAAATCATTTGAATACACGCTACAATAATTTTTAGGGGGTTTCACTAAAACACTCAAAATGGGGGTTGAAATTATAAAAAAACCCAACACCCAAAACACTTTATAAACACACCCAAAAAATATACAATCACACACTCAAAACCCATTTATAAACACACCCAAAAAATATACAATTGTTGATTTTGGGTGTGTTTCTATGTTTAAATAGTGTGTGGGTTTTTTTATAAATACATGCCTAGGATTGGGTTTATTTATAATAATCTATAATTTTTATTTATTTTTTTCTAAATGCTTTTAAATTCAATGTTTAATTTGAACTGTCAAAATCGGTGGGAATCGTCAGGCAATTACAAATTACAATAACTCTCTATCTCACCCGAATTTTAATAGCACAGAACCAAAAAGGAGGGAGGGGTTGGAGCCACCCAAAACTCTAACCTTCTCTCTTTCTACCTCTCTCTCTATCACTGAAACTAATTAGGGTTCCTGCAGTCCAGATAAAGATACAGGGAGAATCAGTGAAGCCCTAATAATCATTCAGGATAGAGATGAGCAACCAAGTGGGTGTCCGGAGGACCAGTCTGAGCCAGAAACGCGGGCCCTCCGCTGCGATTAAGAAATCAGTCCCTCCCGAAAATGGAACCTCTAATGGCACCACCAGCAAACCCTCGTCTCCTCCTCACCCCCTTTCGTAAGTTCTCTCCTTTTCTCGTTTTTGTTTGCCTCCTGAGAAAATGGTTTGGGTAAATTTGCCTTTGTAGAAATGATTTAAAGTTTTGGGTTTTGTTTTTTAAAATGATATATATTTTTTTTTGTGTGTTAAAATTTAAATATTTGAAAGGTCTGGTGGTGGGGAAAGGACGGTGAAGAAGCTAAGGTTGTCAAAAGCCCTAACTATTCCGGAGGGGACTACAGTATCCGATGCATGTCGGAGGATGGCGGCTCGCCGTGTGGATGCTGTGCTCTTAACTGATGCAAATGCGTTGCTTTCAGGAATTGTGACAGACAAGGTCCAATTTGTAACTGATGGTTTGGTTCTTTTTGTGATTTTTAAACTATTAACTTTGGTTATAGTATTTAATTTCAGGACATTTCGGCTAGAGTCATTGCGGAGGGGTTGAGACCGGAGCAAACAATTGTATCAAAGATCATGACGCGGAATCCTATTTTTGTTAACTCTGATTCATTAGCCCTTGAAGCTCTCCAAAAGATGGTCCAAGGTTAGCTTTCTTTATCTAACAAGATTTCTTTTTTGGTAATTTTTTTAATTGTGTGTGTGTGCGGGTTTGTCCAAGAACTTGCATAAACTCTGCATTATTTATTGTTGCATTGGGAGCATAAAACGTGCTATGGTTGATTTCTTTTGTTAACAGGTAAATTCAGGCACCTCCCTGTTGTAGAGAATGGTGAAGTTATTGCCTTATTAGATATCACCAAATGTCTCTATGATGCTATATCAAGAATGGAGAAGGCAGCGGAGCAGGGGAGTGCCATTGCTGCTGCAGTTGAAGGAGTGGAGCGCCAGTGGGGAGCCAATTTATCTGGTTTGTATTAATGTTTGGAATTTATAATGAATTACTTGAGTGTGACCCGAAGTTTCTTGCTGTATTAATTTTTTCTGTAAAGCCTCTATTTCATTTTGAACATGCTCTATATTAACAGACATCCTTTTTTTTAATTGATTTTCTTATATATATTTTATACTTTGGTTGCATACATATAACACATCTGCTAGAACATGACCTTTTGTTTTGTTTATTATCCTGTATTGCAGCTCCATATGCTTTTCTGGAAACTCTGAGGGAGCGAATGTTCAAGCCTTCCCTAGCAACCATCATTGGAGAAAATATGAAGTACAGTTCTTTAGCTTGACTTGCCTTGTGCCCTGTTTGTTGGAGGGTGCAATTTTTGGCTTGGTTATTTTTCATTTGTGTTTAAAGCTTGTATTCTATCCCCAAACTCGTAGTGCTATGTTTTCAGGGTTGCAATTGTTTCCCCATCAGATCCTGTCTATGTTGCAGCAAAAAGGATGCGGGAGTTTCGGATGAATTCAGCTGTAATCATTACAGGGAACAAAATTCAGGGGATACTAACGTATTGTTCTTTTCGTAATATGTTTTATGAACATTTTGCAAGTATATGTTATTGTTGATGTTGTCTAACGTGCCTTCTTTTGCAATTTCATCCAATGTTTGCTTTTTGACTGACTGCAGTTCAAAGGATATCCTTATGCGAGTTGTGGCACAAAATCTCTCTCCTGAGTTGACTTTGGTGGAAAAGGTTTATGATAAACCATTTAATGTTTGATTGTTCTATATATATTATTAAGAATGCTCACTCCCTTTTGTTAAATAAGCTTCCTTAAACAAACTTGAACCAACTTGTGCTGTTCCAACATTTCCTAAGGTAATGACGCCAAACCCTGAGTGTGCCACGCTAGAGACAACAATCCTTGATGCACTGCATATAATGCATGAAGGGAAGTTCTTACATCTTCCTGTCTTAGACAGAGGTAATTAGTACTTCTTTAGCTACCTATTTTTAATATATGGATTTAAATTTTATTGACATCTATTGTTCAGATGGTAGTGTTGCTGCTTGTGTGGATGTTCTGCAGATAACTCATGCAGCTATTTCTATGGTAAAGTCATCCCATTTCCCTATTTACCCATTCTGTTCATCGGAATGAAGCAACTTTAGAGTTTTCGTTCTTTCATTTAGATATGAAGCTATTGATCTTTTATTTAGATGTGGAAATTTATTGAACTTTAAGTGATGGGCCCATTTGGTAATCATCTAGTTTTTAGTTTTTATTTTTCAATGTGTGTGTGTATATATATATTTGTTAGAGATACTGGGGGAAGGTCTATGGAAGAGATAATGAAAATTAAAAACTGAAAACTGAAAACAATTTTATATTGCTTTCACTTTCAAAGATTTTCTCAAAGATTTCCTTATATTATATCAAGTATGGGAGACCCTCAGTTTCTATCTAGTCACCTTGGAGCAGAATCTTACTTCAGATTTAGTTGCTCCAAGGAAAGTAGGAAATCATTTTCGAATGTAACTGTTCAGCTGAAGGCATTGGCCATAATATGATATCGGTTCTGTCTATTTTGGAATTCAACATAAGAAAGCCTTTTTATCAGCCTGAACTGGCATCAGGCCTACCTTATAACCAGCCAACTTTGCCAAAGCCAATTAAATGCTTCCCCGCTTGCCAAAGTAAATTGGTTCTCTAGCAATACTTAAATTAGAATTTTTTTTATTTTAAAATTTTGTCTTTTGGTACTGTGCATTTGTTCAAATAGCTCATGATATGGTCAAGAGGAGCTTTAAAAAAATGGGTAAGTTGTGTCTAATTGTATTTAGGTTATAGGGTTCAGGGAATGTGATCTAATTTAATTATGTTTTTATGTTATTCATGTCATTTATTAAGTTGGAGAAGAGGATGAAATGATATACATTAATGAGATTATAGTACTTTATTTGCATTGTTTTGTGATTTAACACATGTTTTTAATTACTGGTAAAAATTTGATTAGGAGTTAAAATTTCCCATGTACAAGTTATTGGTGAGTCTAGGAGAGGGTTACAAAACTTTTTACTGTGTGGTATTTGTACTTTGTAGAATACATACAACCGAGAACCCACTTAATTGGTTTAGTGCAGAAAATGGGTCTATAAGAATAAAAAATTAGGTGACTTTCCAGGGCAGACTGTATGGATAAATATCCAGGCCAGGTCAATAATTTTGTTTGTTTCTCACATGAAAATTGTTTAGTAAGCACCAAAAGACTTTCTGTGGCGGCATTGGTGATGATGGGTACTGATACATTCAATTCTCATATGGCCTTATGGTCAAGATATGAAAGGAGAGGACATTCATGAAGGAAACATAAATGGAGGTGAAAGCCTGTCTGTCCAAGGGTTTTAATGAGTTTGATTATTGTAGATGAAAATTGAATTTTCTAATTGTAGCACTAGAGATGGTTTCCCTTGTTTGATAAAATTTAGTAATACATTGCTGATGATTCAGTATCTTCTGTTCAAAATGCAGCGCTTGAAGCTTCAAATTACCATGATATTATTTTGTCAACTCCATGAACCTTATGTTCTAACTTCCATTTCATGCTTATAGTTATGGTGCTAAATGATGGACAGATTAGTTGTCTTCATTAACACGCTTCTTATGTCTACACATTAGTATTTTATTTGCTTCTTTGGTGATGCTACTAGAGCACAGTTGGATTTGTGTTACTCTCCTTTTCAACTTCGTAAAATCCAAGGATGAGTTGATTAAGTAGTTATTTTACTTTGTCTTTCTTTCCCAGGTTGAAAGTAGCTCAGGAACTGCTAACACTATGGCAAACACAATGATGCAAAAATTCTGGGATTCAGCACTTGCTTTGGAGCCACCTGATGATTGTGATACTCAAAGGTATGCAAAATTTTCGAAGAACGTCACTTAAATTTTGTTGATGTGAGACTGATTGGGATACGAAAAACCATTTACTCAAATCCATATTGCGTATTGCTTCCTTGATTATTCGGTTTCCTGGTAACCTGGTTAGCTCATTAACTATACCTAGGGGATTTTTTTGCAGTGAATTGTCTGCACTAATGGCTTCTGATGGGACAGACGGAAAGTTCCCTTATCCTTCTCTTGGTCTTGGAAATTCATTTGCGTTCAAGTTTGAAGATCTCAGGGGTCGAATGCATCGGATCAATTGTGGTAAGTGGCTGTCGAAGGCAACATTTCATTGCAAGGATGCTTGAATATGACTTTCCTTGGTTACCTTTTTTGGTCAATCCTTGGTTACCTATATATCACTCCTAGCTAATGAACATTTTGTGGAGTGATTGTGATGTAGGACAGCCTAAGGATTTGCTAAAATGCATGAAAGCTCAAAGAACCAGATTAGTGAACTTGTAAAATTAAATCGAATGCTAAGGGATTCTGAATGAATTAAAATACAATATGGGGGCTGGGATGGAAGTAATTAGAAAATCAACAATGCAAATTATAAGAAGTAACAAATATGATCATGCAGTACCGGAAATCAAGAAAGTTTCAAAGTCACAATTATTTTTACTTGCAGCTTTTTTTTCTTCATGTTTTTCTCTTCATTTTACTGATTATTAAAGGGGTGATACATTGGGAAGACAAAGTTTTGATTTATTTATAAATTTTGGGGAGCATATTTTTCGTTTTGCAGTGGATAGATAGCTAGGTATAAACTACGAAATAGGGGGTATACTTCTCCCCTCCTATTTTAGAGGCTCTAAACTGGGATCTTGAATTCTCATTGTACCTCTAGACCAATATAGCTCATTGACTTTTGGGGGAATGGGGAGAGTATTAGTGAGTTGTATTTATGATTATATTTGGGGTGGGGACATTAATGGCATTGGCAGCTTATATGACAGTGGTATGCAGAAGTAAGCTAGGTGATGCTGTTATTAGTTGTGGCGCAGAATTTGTTGTATACTGACACATGGTTTCGTCATATAAGTGTAGCTACTGGGGGTGATCAGCAGATTGGGTTTGACTGGGGATAGATAAGCAGGCAGTGTGGTGAGAGGTGTGACAGTGACGATGGACATGGTTAATGTTTTTGTGCTTACATGCCCAGCTGTTTACAACAATACTATAGAATTCAACCCACAATGACCTACTTAAATTTGTTTTCTCTGTTCCCTTCAGGCATGGAAAATTTAGATGAGCTGTTATCTGCTGTCATGCAAAGGATTGGTGCTGCTAATGATCATGATCAACCGCATATATTGGTAAAAACTCTGAGCTATTTTTGGTGTTATATGATTTTATTCTGCTGTAAAACTTCAGATTGTGTTTACTTCAGTAATTTGTTCCACCAGTTTGAAGATGATGAAGGTGATAGAGTTCTACTTGCAACTGATGATGATCTTGTTAGTGCAGTCAGCCATGCACGAGGAGTGGGACTGAAGGTACTACAAACGTTGCTTCTTTTATTTTATTTCTAACACATTTCTTTTTTATTTTTGCGCATTTTGCACAATAGTTGTCTTGCAAACTCTTGATCGTCACTCCCCTTGTCTAATATCCAATAAATGGAGGTTTTAGGGGAGTTTTGATGATAGGGTCAGATTGTTAATGTCAAGTTTTGATGTGTAATTATTCTCCGCTGTATGATTTATTTCCTTATGCTTCTCTCTCTCTCTCTCTCTCTCTCTCAGGTTCTAAGGTTGCATCTGGACTTCTCTGATTCTGGCCACAGAACCATATCGCAGTCAGGTACAACAATGGCCCAGACAACGGGATGGACGTCTCTCCACACTGGAGTTTTGGCAAGTGCTGCTGTTTTAACCAGCATTGGTGTGTTGGTCTACTTAAAGCGAACTAACCTGTAATGTTATCCTGATTGTTCAAAGGAAGCACATACTAGGATCAATCAGAAAAAGGTTACTCAAGAGCCATGCCCTGCCCTTCCATGCCAACCCTAGTAGATTATCTCATTGGCGGAGGTATAATGAAACTGAACATGTAGGATTCAGATCACCAGCAGCAGCAGCAGCTAGTGTTCTGTAACAGACGGAAAGTAATATATTGTAGGTTACACAGAGCTGCAAGAGCTGATGACTGGTCCACTGTTACATTATTTTTGTTTCTGATATTACTGTGGAAGGGATTTGCGTCTTCTTTGCAAGTGAGAGAAAATGCAGAATTTGGTTCCGGGCAATGTGTAAAGTTTCTTTTGCTAAAACAAGAAAAAGAAAAGGAAAAAATAAAATAAAATAATTTGGCTTCCGGCAATGTGTAGAATTCAATTCAAGGTTGCGATCCTTAGCAATTAAATTCTTTGGCCAAAAAAAAACAGGAAAATTCAATCTTAAATCAGTCCCGTCAACGGAATTCTTTGGCAACCAATCACAATCAACGAGGGTGGGAAAAACAATTGAAGAAAAGATTAAATAAAAAACTTTTAAGATGCCCGAAACACCCCTCCACAGCTAATTGTTCATCCACAACACTCGATTGATTAGTGGGAACAAATGCATCATGGCTCCGTCCTGCTCCATCATCCGCCACGGCCAAAAGGATCGTCTTCCACTGCTGATTCTTCAACTATATCACTCATTTCATCATCGGGAACAATCGCAAAAAAATTCAGATATGATTCCACTGCTAATTGTTCATGTATAACACTGCCCCTGAAAAATGCGTCATCAACTCCCCTAAAAAACTCCAGATATGGATCCGGATTATCCATATTTTCCTTCATGAGTTTGTCCCATTCTAGATGAACCCCTGTCTTCTTCACTCTCACAAAATCAACATCATCAGGCCTTACAAGAATCGATACGTGGTCACCGCCTTCCAAACGGAGCATATCGTTTGACAATTGTCCCTGCCAAAGATAATCGTCTTCAGGTTCACCGTATCTGTTGGGTCTTACCGAGGCAAATGCTATCCGGGTGCGCAAAGCAGTTTGTTTGGTAAGATTTCTAACGATAATGCCAATAAGACCTTCTTGAGAATCTACATATTCCGGATAATGCGAATAAGACCTGCTTGAGTAACCGAAGCATATAGTCAACCCTTTTAAATCACGACCCATGATTCTTTGAGGAACTTCAAAGAAGACGATATTGTCCACATCATTGACGATTTTGAACCACTCAGGAATATCATAAATTCCATTCAAATAAATTCCACCATATCCGGAAGAAGTCCATCCCTATATCATGTAGAGCAAGATTTGTATAAGCATTACATTCTTACTCAAGTGCACGTGCGTACCTCACGTGCGTCTGTGTGTGATAGAGAGAGAAAGAGATTGACCTGTAGGATGTTGTTCCTAAAATCGGCAGTCAGATTGGTGCAGCTTTCCATATGAATCCTTGTCATGGAGTTTAATGACTTATCCAAGCCTGGAACCTCAGTGAGTTTGAACGAATCACGGAGATACAATTCTCTCATATTCGACATTTTTGAAAAATCTGGAAGTGTTTCCAATTCTGGGCAGTCATTTGCTTTCAGAACATACAAATTGGTTGGTAAATCTGGGATTGCACGAAGTCTTCTGCATGCAGTTAACCACCGATGGCCTGCAAGACATTAATCTATTAAAGAGTTTAAACCATGTAACGGAAGGGGTAAAAGATGGAATTTCAAAATTCTCACCAGATAGAGATAAACTTCTCAACTTCTTCAATTTTACTATGGAAGATGGAATTTGTCTGATGGCTGTCTTATCTGCTTCCAAAATTGTCAATGATACCATGTTCCCTAAGCCCTTAGCCAACTTTCCAAACCTTTGACAAGCATTCAGTATAAGAGTTTCAATAGACTTGGATTTATAGAAATTCCGTGGGAGATTCCATAGACTTATGCAGCCTTCAAGATTTACCAAAGAAAGTCTTCCAAGATCCCCGATGGATGAGTGAACCTTAATCAACTCCTTACAACCTTTCAATATCAATTCCTCGAGATTTGGGAGTTTTGAAAAGTCTGGTGATTTTGTTAGCTTAAGGGAATAACTGAGATTAAGGATTTTCAAATTCTCATGCAACTGTTACACAAAAACAAAATTAGAATGGAAATTAAAAACAAAATTAGTCTGGTCTCTGAAACAGAAATTAATGCAAAATGAAGAGAAGGTGAAGGAAAGAACCAACAACAGAAGGTTGAGATTATTATACCTTGCAATCCTTCCAAACTATTTTGAGTTGGCTATATTGCAGGTCTAAAGCAACTAGTTTTGGTTGCACAGGAAAGTCATCTGGTATGGACTCTCTAGGAAAATAATGCCACCACAACCATATTAACTTTTTGGGAAAATCTTTGTACTTTCCAGTGAGCACTACGTCGCTGAGGCGGAGTAACCTCAGTTTTTTCATGTTGGTAAATGCTTGTGTACTGAATATAGGGAAATCTGGATCCAAATATCGAAACACAACCACAAACACATCTCGATGCAAATCTAGAGCAACTCCTTCAATTTCTTCAGTTTCCTGTTAACAAAAGATACCGAGTTAGAAAATCCATGTATGTATAACCAAAAGGTATAATTAATAGTGTTGGACCATGTTACGCACATATTTTTTGTTGGTTATGCCTAATTGAGCTTTCATCTTAATGGATATAATATAAGAAATAGCAACAGGGTCTAGCGAAGTGAAAAATGGTCTAAACTTGCAGATTAAAGTCCCAGGTTCAAATTCATATGGCACCTTGGTAGTGTGGATGTGTGAGAACCCCCTCTTTTACTTTGGTTTAGACTATCGCTTGTACTAAACAAAAAAATAAAATGGAAAAGGACATTTTAATTTATTATAGACACGGGAAAAATATGCTTCTCTTGCATGAGGCATTCTAAAACTTTAGTGGGAAAGTACTTACAGATTCATCACTCAATACATCTGTTACGTCTTCACGTTTCCACAATCTACTAAATTTTTTAGGGTGTCCGTGTGCATTTTCATAAACGATCTCTCTTCCCATGTCTCGAAGCAAATCATGCATCATCAGCTCATTTTGCTCACTAACAGTTACAAGGCACCGTTCAATGAGGACACTGATTCCTATCGTTGCAGAGAAGCCACATCCATCTAATATTTGTGTGACATAGTCCTTGTCCATTCCTATAAAGAAACAAGATATATCAAGGAATATCTCTCTCGTTGTATAATCAGGTAGGCTGTCAAAGCTTATTCTGAGTATTTTTTGAATATCTCCATCAGGAGGACTTCTTTCCAATTTCTCCAAATGGCTTTCCCCCTCTGCTGTTGTTCTTTTCTTCAGAAAAGACCCTAAAACTTTAAGTGCTAGTGGCAAACCTTGACAGTAACGAATTACACGTTTTGAGAGGTCAAGATATTCTTGATTAGGATAATCACTTTCGAGGTCAAGATATTCTTGATTAGGATAATCACTTTCGAAGGCATGCCAAAGCTCTAGAGCTTCTTTTTCATCCATTTCTTCAGCCATATATATGCTATCCACTCCAACTTGCTCTAGCAAATGTTTATTTCTTGTTGTTATAACAATTCTACTTCCAGGACCAAACCAATCACGAGCTCCAGCTATTGCTTTTAGTTGCTGTAGATCATCCGCATCGTCAATTATGACAAGTGCTCTTTTACAGAAAAGTCTTGCTCTTATCATATCGATCCCCACCTCAACAGAATCAACCTTTATGGGGTCCTTGCTTTTCAAGATATCATTTAGAAGTTGTTCTAGCAAACCAACCAGACCAGTAATGGGTTGGTGTGCAATTACTTCCCTCACGTTTGCAAGGAAACTCCTACCTTCAAAGATACGTTCAAAATTGTTATAAATGGTTTTGGCAAGCGTTGTTTTTCCAATGCCGCCCATCCCCAAAATACCAATCATGCGAACATCTGTAGAACCTGCTGTTTCAAATTTTTTAGATAATTCAATATCAGTTAAATTGCAGCTTGCAAGAACTAATTCTCTTAATGGTTCGCCTTGGCTTGGTCCTGCCTCATCTGGAGTTCTCGACAACCAATCAGGATTTGGGTCCAAATCATATAGATGAGGATCCGAATCATGCATATTTTCCTTCATAACTTTGTCCCATTCTAGATTGACCCCTACTTTCTTCACTATCACAAAATCAACTGTAGCAAATACAGAAAGCCGGACTTTATCCCCACCTTGCAAACTGAGCCTATCGTTCGATAGTTGTCCCTGCCAAAGATAATAATCTTCATGTTTACTGTCTGTTTTTACCGAGGCAATTGCTGGCCAGGTGTGCAAAGTAGTTCCCTGCGTTACATTTCTAACCATAATGCCAAGACCATCTTTTGGTTTTGGGTTGTCTGAAGAGTAAACGCAACACAATGTTAACCCTTTTAAATCACAACTGAAAATTTGGGGCACTTTAAAATCCACTACATTGTACTCATTACCGACCAACTTGAACCACTTTGGAATACCATAAATTCCTTCAAGATAAATGCCTCCAAATCCGCAAGAAGTCCATCCCTATACCATGTAGAGCCAAATTTGTGTAAATACATTCGTATTCATTCATGTGTATACATGCAGTGGACGTGGATGTGCATCTGTGTGTGTGTGTGTGTGTGTGTGTGTGTGAGAGAGAGAGAGAGAGAGAGAGAGAGAGAGAGAGAAGGGTTGACCTGTAGGATTTTCTTTGTGAAATTGGTGGTGAGATTGGTGCAGCCTTCCATATGAATCCTTGTCACGGAGTTTAATGACTTATCCAAGCCAGGAATCTCAGTGAGTTTGTACGAATCAGATAAATATAGTTCTCTTATACTTGACATTTCTGAAAAATCTGGCATTGTTTCCAATGCTGTGCAGCCAAACCCTCTCAGAACTTTCAGATTTTTCGGTAATTCTGGGATTGCACGAAGTTTTCTGCAGTCATTTAAACACAAATATTCCAGCTTTGAAAGACCACTTAGGCTTGGCAGTCTACAAAAAGAATTTTGTCCACAATCTAAATGTTCTAAGGAACTTAGGCTCCCAAGATCCTTAGGGAGTTCATCATCTGTTAAACTGCAGTCTGCAAGAGCTAATTTTCTTAAAGAGTTTAAGCCATCTAACAAAGGGGGCAAAAAACCGGTTGATCTCAGGTAAGAATGGGGCAAAGAGCCAGTTAACCGTTCCGAACCACATAGAGATAAAGATCTCAGGTTCTTCAATTTTACTATGGAAGATGGTACTTTTGTTACAGCTGTATCGTCTGCTTCCAGAGTTCTCAATGATACCATGTCCCCTAAGCCCTCAGCCAAGTTTTCAAATCTTGAACAACCATTAAGTAGAAGAGTTTCAATAGACTTGGATCGATATAAATTCAGTGGGAGATCTTTAAGCCTTTTTCAGTGTTCAAGATTTACCAAAGCAAGTCTTTTGAGATCACCAATGGATTCATGGACATCAGACAAACTCGTACATTCCAATATCAACTCCTCGAGATTTGGGACTTTTGAAAAGTCTAGTGATGTTGTTAGATCATGAGAATGACTCAGATTAATGATTGTCAACTTCTCAAGCAACTGTTACACAAAAACAAAATTAAAATGGAAATTAAAATCCGAAAAGGTCTGATAAAAACATATGCAAAAAGAAGAGAAAGTGAACATAATCTATGTATAAAACCAGACAGAAAAAACTAACAACTCGGTTGGGATTATTATACCTTGTAGGAGGAAGAGAAATACACAACACAAATAGACACTAATTTCTTGAGAGAATATGCTATTTCATTTTAATTCAGTTCAACGAATAACATTGATAAAAGACCTATTTAAAATATCATGACCTAAAACCCACTCTCACATCTTAATACTTCATCATCCTAGTAATAAGATAACTGATTGTTTATTTTCCCACTAAAACATGAACTTATTAAATAACAGAATAAAAAAAAGACTCAATATTGAAACTTCTTGAATGCAATAATAATGCACATTTGGTTTAGTTCTCCAACTTACCTTGCAATCCTTCCAAACTACTTTGAGTTTGCTGAACTGCAGGTCCATAGCAATTAGGCTTGTTAGATCAAAGTCACCTGGTATCGAATCTAGAAGGAATCCATGCCAGCACAACCATCTTAAATTTTTGGAAAGAAATTTGTACTCTCCGGTGAGCTCTACATAGTTGAGCTGGAGCAATTTCAGTTTTCTCATTTTGCTAAATCCTTCAGTACCGAAACTAGCCTTTTCCGAGCTTCGCAGATTTAGACCAAGTCCTTCAACTTTTTTAGTTCCCTATTAAAAAAAGGCACTCAGCAAGAAAAACATTGTTAACCGAATTCTTTATCCACAGGTTTGTTAACAAAAGCTATAATAGTACGTACACATGAAGTTTGGTTGATTTTGCCTGACTGAGACCGACTATATATTATGTACACATGCAGGGAATTCTATATATTAGGGGTTGGAAAACCGACTATGTTACGCATACATAGGCTTCTCTTGTATGATGCATGCTAAACTTTTATTGAAAAAGTACTTACAGATTTGTCTTCCAATACATCTGTCACATTTTCACGGAGCCACAATCTACGCCGGTCTTCTTTGTCACCTTCTTGACTGATTGCTCTGCCCATGTCTCGAAGTAAATTATGCATCATTAGCCGGTTCTGTTCATTAACAGTAACAAGGCACCGCTGAAGGAGCACGCTGATTTTTATTTCTGCTTTAAAGCCACATCCATCTAATATTTTTCTGACATGGTCTTTGTTCATTCCAATGAAGAAACAAGATATATCAAGGAATATACACTTCTCGTCCCGATCTAGACCGTCATAGCTTATTCTAAGTTTTTTTAGAATATCTTTCGGAGGGATTCCTTCCAATTCCTGCAATTGGCTTTCCCACTCTGCTATGGTTCTTCCAATCAAGAAAGAGCCTAAAACTTTAAGTGCCAGTGGCAAACCTCCACTATAAAAAACTACCTTTTCTGAGAGTTCAAGATATTGTTCATTAGGATAACCTTTTTGAAAGGCATGCCGACAAAAGAGCTCAAGACCTTCATCGGGATTCATTTCTGGAACCGTGAAAGTTTTATCCACACGAAGTACGTCTAGAAAATGTTTATCTCTAGTAGTTATTATAATTCTACTTCCAGAGCCAAACCAATCACGATTTCCAACTATCGCTTCGAGTTGCTCCTTTTCATCTACATCGTCGATAATTACAAGTACCCTTTTACATCCAAGTTCTTTTTTTATCATACCCATCCCTCCATCAACACAACTTATGTGAAATTTGGTCGGTTTCTTGTAGATTTCAGCAAGAAGTAGTTTTTGCAAATAAACAAGACCATGTCTATTTGCAGTGTCCCTAATGTCTCCAAGGAAACCATGAGCTTCGAATTTATCCTTAATTCGATTATAAATGGCCTTCGCAGCTGTTGTTTTGCCCAGTCCGCCCATCCCCCAAATTCCAATCATGACAACGTCTTGTGATCCACCACCTAAAAGATAACTGATCATATCATGTACACGAGAGTCGACTCCAACCGGGTAGGCGGCTACTGGTAGGGGAGTTGTGGAAAGCCGTCCGATAATTTTATTCTCAATAAATGCCTCGATAAACTTTGCTTCATTCCTGAAAATTGAATTCGGAAGCAAAACAAAAGACTCATTATGATGAAACATTAGATTTCTACTTATTTGCATTTATGTTAGGTCTCAATTATCAGTATTAGTATTTTTATACAAGCAATATTCTAAATTACGGAGATGGAATTCGAACTAGGGTGCAAGGATAGGATTCGGATCCTCTACTTTGATTTTCTCTGCCATAATCTGTTTGTCTTTTGTGCTCCACACGCCTACTCATTAAAATTTTATCTAAGAAATTAAAGTTTGACACATCATCTTTAAAACAAAAACCCAATTTACTAATAATTAAAAAAGTAAAAAGAAAAGTCCTAACTCAACTAACGCTAGAGTTTGACAAAAAAACTAACGATAAAGTTTTCCTTCTTCCTGCGTCTCTGCCTCAAAATCTTACCTGTCAACAAGTTTTCCTTTCTCCAAGAAGAAAAACAAAAACACTATCTTCCCATATCAATTGTTTGAAGAGTGGGTGGTTTAAAAAAAATTCCTATTTATTGTTTTGCTGGATAAAAAAGAAATCATGTTTCAAGACCTGAATTCCGGATTTGATTGATGACATGCTCTTCTCTCTCTTTTTTTGTCTCTGCTACAATTGGTCCCTTCTACATGCTTTTCTATTTTTTGTTTTCTTCCTATCTCTGCAACAATTCAAAACTCCCCTCTTTCTCACCGAAACTAATTGCTTTTCTGTATGGTTTTGAATTGGATTTCAATGTTTTGGTATGATCAGGAGAAACAAAGCCAAAAAAGATTCTAAAATATCAAACTCAACAGGGCGCAGGGAGCACAATAAAGACTCCAAGGATGCTGAACCAAAAGAGGAGGATGGGGCAGAGGGGGAGGGGTAGGGGTAGACGGA